AATCTGTTAAGTAAATCTTTAGTATCACCAACTTAACAAATGAAACTCTTAGAAAATATGGGTGGAGGATCCAACACTACCCCTTCTTGTGCCCCTGCCTCTTACAATGCTCACACATCACTTGACTGACCCTTCTTTCCAATATTCTTGAACGATTCTTTGTTAGCCTGAACTGCTTCTGCCCTGTTGGCAAGAGATAGGTCTCATTTACCCCCAAAGATTCCACGAGACTCTTTTCCCATCTGGATTCGAGCACACACATCCTTAAGTGTAAGAAGACTCTCCAACCTCAAAATATGCTAAATGAGATCGTTGTAAGTCGGATCAAAGGTCAGCAAAAAGCTAACCTTGTTTTTCTCACGCCTCTCATTAAAGGTTACATTTATTAAGTTGGTGATACTTAAAATTTACTTGATAGAAAAACTAAAAGATAAATAAATGTTGTGATTCACTTGTAACCTTGGGTTACATATAGTTAATACCCAAAATATATCATTTATGTTATGTTAAGTCCTTATCTTAAATACATAAAGTTTGACATACACATAGTAATAAGTATATTTACATATAATAGAGTTTCCACTAATTCAAACTTATTACATCACATGACAATAAGAACTGGTCTTAATTCATCAAACTTTCAATAATTAGAATTATAATTACAAAGATTGAAATAGTTATATTATTTAAAAGAATAAAATAATGTCTCGGTTAAAAATTAATAAAAACATAATAAATAAGCAAAGTACCTAAATTATTGAGAACTCGACAATCAGTACAGTTTGAAATATTTATATTATTTAAATTTGAAATAATTATAATAAAACATAAAAATAAGTAAAATTATCTAATATTACGTAAAACATGAAAAAGCAACATAATCACTTCTCAAATATTAGTATAGATTCTTAAATTAAAAATAAAATAATACACCATATAAATTTGAATATTGTACAAGAAAATATCTAAAAAAACAAAAAAAAATGGTTCAGTTTAAATAGATGGATACAAATTGGTAGGTATTTAGGATATTTTTTTTATGTTTGTAGTATTTTTGGCTATTTTAGATATTTATTTTTAATATTTTGGATAATTTTAGATAGTTTTAGTTAGTTTGGATATTTTTATATTATATTTAAAAATATCTAATATATTTAACCAACAAAATATTTAGGTATATAATTATGTCCATATATTTGGGGTACGAGTAATATTCTTTTTGGATTGGTTTTGGTTCTAGGTCTTTTGATACCAAATTTTTGGATCCGTTTGATTATTTGACAAAAGTTTTGGTTCGGGTTTGGTACTATTTTTGAATTGGGTTTGATTCGGTTTTCCGGATTCAAATATTTTGCCCAGCCTTAATTGTATAATCACGTTATTTCATTTAATTGATGTCTTAATATTTTATTTTTGTTTCAGTTTTAATGATGTTTGAAATTTCTATACAAAACTTTAATGTTATTTGATATTTTTGACCATTTATATTCTATTGCATGATTTTTATTGTTTGTATTAGCATTAATTAATGCAAAAGAAACAAAATGAAGGAAAGTTAACAATTTTTTAAATAGATGGTACAAAAGCCTTTAACAACAACTAATTTAAAACATAAAGAATGTGGATTAATCAGATAAATATGAAGTGTATCTATCTATCTATTTATATAAAGGAGACTTTGTCTCCCTCCAACTCATCCACGTCACTAATTCAATTTCTCTGGTCATGACACGTGTACTAAATATTGAAACGATGCGTACCCATTTGTTTCACCTGATATGGGCTTTGTTTGTTTTCTGGCCCAATGTGACTTTTCTCGCTGACCCTTCGCAAGTATAAGTCGTCTCGCACTCTCGCGTCTCCTTCGGCTGAAAAACTAGGGTTCTTCCTCTAACACGATGATTAAAACAAAATTTCCTTAATTTTATAATGAAGAATGGGTTTAATTGATTTTAACGATTCATCGTGCAGCGTTCTTCTCAGTTCTTCTTCCGGCACCCAACCTAGCGAGCGATTCCTAGAGGTCCGTACTGACATCTCTCTCTCTCTTTGCAGTTATTTTGTTTCATCTTCCTTTTCTCTTTCTCTACGATATTGATAATCCCTAAGTAGACAGACATATTTTATTTTCTTCCTTCAGTTTATCGGCAAGTATGAAGGGAGAAGATACCAATTTAGACTTAATGCCTCCAAGGAAGAAGAATAAAGGACCCAGTAAGGTTTAACAAAAATCCTAATCAAACGATTGTTCTGTAGTAAGGTGTTTGCAAGTTTCAATCTTCACTGCAACCTGCAACTTCGTTCCCAGATGTGTGACAAGCTGAACTTAAACAAGACGACTTTGATAAAATCCCAGAAACGGAAGCTGGAGAAGTTGGAGGAGGAGATCAAGGAGAAAGAGCTCCTCTCTGCCAAAACCTCAGAGTTGTTAGAGTATGATTGCACTTCTCTTCACTTCCCAAATTCATCATCTTATTTACTTTCTGTGTTTCTGCAGCAAATATAAACTATCTGCAGATGTGTCTTCGCTTTTACAATCTTCAAAAGCTATTGGAAGAGTAAGCAACCTGCAATTTCCTCTAATCTTAAAGTAGCTTTAGAGTTAAACGGTGATCTGATTCTTCTTTTGGGTTTCATTCTGATACTAAGCTGGAGAAACGTATAAGAACAATACAACTCTCTAAAGCTGGTGTTGTGTCTGAGCATTCTGATGAACCAGTCGTGGACAATGATTCTTGCATGGAAGACCACACCTGAACCTGCTGAAAACGTTGATATCCCGAGTCTTCAAACTGATTCTGAGAAATTTGTTAATGCAAATGAACTTGATTCTAAAGTGATGATTCCTGCTGAAGACGTATGTGAAGAAGATGAACCTGTAGTGGATATGAATCTACTGACAGCTGGTCGTGATGATGATGATGATGATGAAGAAGGCTTACGAAGAATGGTTTGTCAAATTTTGATTCGGCTATATGTTTTGGTTTGATTGGTTTTAATGGGTTTAGGTAATGAAAACATGATGAGAGTGAAGATGTAACCGTACAAGAACCTGCGTTTGTAGTTCATGTTTCAAGACCAGCTGAAGTTTGAACATACTTCAATTATCATCCCACCGTTTTTATTTTAGGAAAGACCGGTTGTGGTAAAACCACTCAAGTTCCCCAGGTCAGTTTGTTGCATTTGTACATGTTTTGCTCTTGGCTGAGTTTTGGGCTCAATGCTAATCTAATCTGGTTTCTGAAATTTTCAATTTCTTTATGAAGCCGTTTTTGGTTCAAAGCAACTCAGCTCTCGAAGGGGAGTTATCGGTATCACACAACCATGTCGTGTGGCTGTCCTCGCTACTGCCTAGAGAGTGGTGCATGAACTTAGTGTTCGTCTTGGTCAAGACGTCGGGTTTAAGGTTAGGTATGACAAAAATATAGGCAAGAACGCAGCTTTCAAGTCTATGACCGATGAGATTTTACGCCGTGAAATTCAGGTAATCATGGCTTTTTTTGTAGATTCTTCTTATTTCATCTCAGAATTTTGATTGTAGAAATTTAATCTGTTGCAGAATGATTTCTTATTGAGGCATTACTCTGTGATAATTCTCGATGAAACTCATGAAAGAAGCTTCAACACATACATTCTAATTTGGATGCTTACTGGAGTCATCAAAATCTGGAGGCACAATAAACGGAACCATCTTGCCGCCTAAGCTTATATCGACGAGTGCAACTTTGCGAGTGGAAGATTTTGTATCAGAGAGAAAGGTTGTTCCCTAAGCCACCTCCGATAATAGAGGTTCTCACTAGACAATACCCGGTCACTGTAAATTTCTCCAAAAACACTAAGATCTCTAATTATATCAATGAAACTTATAAGAAAGTTATGATTTACAAGAAGTTGCCACAAGGAGGAATAATAAGAGTTTTCTCTCTTCTACTTAAACCATCTCATCAATTGGGTGCATATAAACTTTGACAAATATAATTTTTTAAATATTAGTGAATACTCCAAAAAATTTCAAATTTTTATTATTAGATTAAATATATTAAAAAAATATTAAATAGTATATAAATATTTATAATTAGAATTAATTAAAAACAAATTAATTTTAGTTTGTAAATTATAAATAATTATTTTAACATAACTTAACAGATATTAACATTTATGTTTCAGTTATACAAATATATTTACAATTTTAAAACAAGAATTTATATTATTGCATTAATCAATATTATTATCAACATTTACATATAGGTTATTTTATTATTTATTTTAATAGATAAATTGATTGTAAATAATATTAAAATTTATACATAATTTCTAATTTTAAAACATGTTAATAAACGGGAATGAACATGAACAGTCATACATAATTTCTAATTTACATACATTTAATTAAACTTAAATTAACATAAACAGTCATTATAATTTTGTGTCATAAAAAAAAACAACATAATTTATTAAAATAAGAATCAATAAATCAGTCATATTAATATATTTATGGCGAGCTTTAATTTTCTGTTTTAAAAATGTTAATTTGATGTTTAGCATTATATATAAGTAAATAGTTTAAGTATTGTCAAATAAATAAAAATGTTAAAATTTAGTGATAATATACAATAATTTGTTATATCTAACAATATTAAAAGGTCTAAATCAAACTCTATGAGCTATGCCACGTCAATTAAAATATTCATCCAATCATAAATCTTCAGATTGCCATGTCACTCATGCCTTTTAGTCTAAACAGAATAAGCCGGCTCTGGCTCTTCCTCTTCCTCTTCCTCTTCGTCGGTATTTTTTTTTTTTTAACCCTGCAAATTAATCTCTTCTCTCCTCATCCTTCACGCTCCATACTAAGGAACCTTACTCCTCCTCTCCCCCGCCTCCCAATTCCTCAAATCAAGAATCCTCAACCAACTCTCCTCCCCCTCCGGAGATAACCTTCGACCTCCCCACGAACCACCGGTACTCCCTCTACTCCTCCGGGAACTCCTTCTTCATCACGCCGCGCGTACTAATCGTCGATCTCCTCACAGAATGCATCCCAGTCTCCTCCCTCACCGGAATCTTCATCCTCAACGCTCACTCCCTCTCTGAAACCTCCACCTAAGCCTTCATCGTCCGTCAAAACCCTAAACCCCTCCGCCTACGTGCGCGCCTTCTCCGATAGACCGCAGGCCATGGTCTCCGGTTTCGCCAAGACGGAGCGCACCATGCGCGCTCTCTTCCTCCGCAGGCTCCACCTGTGGCCTCGGTTTCAGTTGGATGTGTCTCAGGAGCTTCAGAGGGAGCCGCCTGAGGTTGTTGATATAAGAGTTCCGATGTCGAGTTACATGGTTGGGATACAGAAGGCGATGGTTAAGGTCATGTACATGTTCTTTTTTTTTTTTAATCTATAAGAGGTGTTTTGCTTATGTCGATAAATGATAATATGCAAATTTTAACAGTATGTTTGTCATTTGTGTAACTAGATATCAGAGTTTGCAAAGTGAGGATGATATCAAGAAGTCTTTGATTGACAAGTTATGCTCCTAATGAGAGATCACCTATGCTTATTTTCCAATAGACTTCCACAGCCTTCTTCTTGCCCCAAGTTTGTGGCTTCATGCTTTCTCCAATTTGTGATAATTGCTGTGAGTTTTTTACTAAACTATTTTTTTTCATTTGCAACTGCACTTACATTTAATTACGTGGTGGAAGTTTTGTCAAACGTTTGAAAGTCCTTCACAAAATTGAGCCATGATTGTCGTATAATTTTGCGTCAGTACATAAATTTTCTCATGATTCTTGATTTGATTTCATAGCGAAACATCTCTCATGAATTCTTTTTTTTTTTATTGTAGCTCAACTTTTAGAAAGAGACACTTGAAACGTTCTTTCACTTCAGTGTATGTGATAACTGTTGGTAGCTTCACACTACCACTCCAAGGGTTAAGTTAAAACCATCAAGTGAATGAAAAGCTGGTACGCTTCATATCCAAAATATTTTATGTTTAAGATGTTCTGTAGCAATACAATAAATTAACAATAGTTCTTATTTCCACTTTATACTTTTGTCTACTTTGAAAAGAATAAGCTCACCTAATTTAACATCTTGGACGGCATATTACAGGGACTGAGCTATAAAACATGTAGTGTAATACTAGGCATGCATTCTGGAAGAGTGTCATGAACTTGAACAAACTCTTTAGGCAACCCATGTTTTAATGATTCCAACAGTGTATGATCCCTAAGTTCTTGATTTAACATGTTTACTTTGATTCAAAAAAATATCGTCGCTTATACTCTAAAAAATCTGCAGGAACAATAACATCCAGATATTGAGAGGCGCAAAAGAATACGCAAAAACAGAGACAAAGATATAACTTTGTGTGGCAGAGATGAGAAGATTCAGAGAAAACAGAGACACTATTGGTTGACCGGGTTATCTTGAGAGGCTCAAGAGATACAAGTGAATGATCAACAAAATCTGGAGAAACAGAAACAAATAGATACTGACTAGAGCATTTCAGCGTTGGTGGTCATAATACTCTATAGGAACACACATGTGAGAAACAAAGTGGTTCAAATAAGAGTCAAAACCGGAACTGAGGATTGAAAGAAAAGAGAGTGATGGGGTGTAAGAGGAAACAAAGTAACTAGACACCTAAAATAAAACACTCAAATTCTTGCTTTGGACGCAATAAACTGATGTGTAGTGAAATTAAATTGTTTGTGTAAGATATGCACATTTAGGATTTCTCAAACTTCTATCATTTCAACTATATCTCACTTGGTGGAGAAGTTTAAATACAGAATATCCAAGTGCACATTATATCATATTTTCATACAGTACGAAGAAAAAAAATTGATTCCAACTTGATTTTTGTACATTACTTATTACATATCTTTTTTTCAAAGAACTTTATTACAATCATATATTCATGTTTTAAGTATGTTTGTAAATCATACCCTAAAAGTTAAAAGGATGTATAAAACAATATTTTCTATCTTGGAATTTAATAATTTTAAAGACAAAACAACATTTAAATCAATTATAAGCTAATAATGGATGTACACAAAAGCTAAATTATCTAAGATTATAACTAAAGTTCAACCAACTTATTCATCGTTAGGGTGTGCGTTTGGGTTCTCATTCGAGTTCGATTTGAGTCTATTCGGATTTCTGGTTTCTGAGGGTAAAGATTTCATCTTCATTCAGATATTTATAAATTTTGGTTTGCGTAGGATCTTTGCAAGATCTGGTTTGGGTATGAATAACCCACTTTAATTATTTTAAAAATTTAAAATTCATATATTAAATTTTTCAAAATCTGAAATAACATAATATATATAACATATAAGTTTGAGTAATATATGACAAAAGACCTAAATTTAACATAAAATGATTTGAGTTGAATATTTGGATGGAAAATCAACACATATTTTAAGCATTTTTGATGTTTTTATAATTGTTTAACAATTTTAGATATTTAGTTTTGACTATTAGAATGTTTTCAAATATTTTGGAAAACTTCAAAATATCTTATAAATTTTGGGTATTAGCTCTAAAATTAGTTAATATAATCAAATATATAGATCTGATTTAGATATATTTGGATAGCTGAAATATTTTGGATCGGGTTCGATTCATGGTCTTTAGATATTTTTGAAGCAGCTCAGATATTTAACCAGTTTTTGTTGGGTTTGGTTTATTTTCGGATTAGATTCGGTTCGGAATTTTTTGCCCATTCCTATTCATCTTTCCCATCATACTATAATAAATAAAGAATTCTTCTTCAGACATCTATTTTATCATATAAAACATAAAATTACAACAAAGTATTATAAAATAGTAACATTACAACTAATTGTGAGTTCTTATCTTTCTAAAATTTTCAAACAAAAAAAATTAATAAAAAAAATTAATCTACCAATTTATGTTTTTGTAATTGGTACGTATATATATATATAAAATATAGTTAAATATAAATATAAGAAAATATTTGTTTAATACACTTTTATTTGAAAACTCTGGAAAATGAGTTAATTAGAGATAAGAAAAAGATAAATTTGTTCAAATCTAAATATAACATACATATATTCAAATTTATTTATTTTCTAACTTTTCTCTTTCTCAGAAAATTATGGAAATTGACAGTATTGTATGCTTGCAGTATCTAACACTCTCTATGTTCCAAACGGTCTTTCACAAATTAGAGAAAAGATGAAATAATGTAACACGTTGAAAAACTTGAAAATTATTCGTGTGATGCTTTTTGTTTTTGTTTTTTTTTCCGTTTTGGGTAGAGATGAATGAGCTGCGCAATTCAAATTGTGCTAAAATATACATTCTTCATTTTAACCCGTCAAGTTTTATAAAATTAGTTGCTGATGAGAATATGTTTTCATTACTGATTTTTCTTTATCAAATTCCTTCGTCCTCTTTTTTTTTTAAAAAAAAATATATAATAAAAAATCTCCTATATTTTATACTGAGCTTTTTGAAATTGGATTATCAATTATGTTTGTTTACTTCCCGGTCTTAGATCTCTTAACAAGTTGATGCTGTTAAATGTGTTTTAAATATCTAATGTTCTTTATTACTTAATCTCAAATCTCTTAAAATCTACATAATTTATATACATATGAAAATTTTGCAATATATTATTTTCAAATAATAAAATAAATTATTAAATTTTATAAATATTATCCGCGCGTAGCGCGGAAAAGGATCTAGTATTACTAATAGTTTCTCTTCAATAACTTCAAATAACGTGCTTACTTGCACATTAATTATAATAAAATATAAAAAGTTCATTAATATGTATATTTACACATAGTAAAATTAGTATTAGATTTTCAAGTTGCATACTTAATTTAAAATAGTTTCTTCTGTTGTAATGATTCAGTTACTATTTTGTATATATATATATATATATATATCTTTATTAAGATTTAGAATTAATAAACCAGTTATATTAATATATTTATAGCGAGCTTTAAATTTATTATTTTTAAATACTTAATGATACGTTTAGCATTATATAATAGTAAAGAATTTTAAATACTATCAACTAAATAAAAATATTAAAATTTAGTGTAATATATAGTAACTTGTTATATATTAATAGTAAATTATCTTCAATAACTTTGAATAACATTGTTTACTTTCACATTAATTATAATAATATATGAAGAATCCAAAAAAAAACATGTAACTTTATATGTAATAACAATTAGTATTACATTTTCAAGTTGTATACGTAATTTAAAATACTTTTTCTGTTGTAATGAATTACCTACCATTTTGTATTATGTATATATATATATTTAAAGATATATATAAACAAAATATCTCTTAATTCAAAAAATAAATGTACAAAAAATAAGTATATTCTGTGTTAAATTCAATCAACCATAATAAAAACAGAATCATTAAAGTTATTATAAGAACATTGTCAAAGTTAATGTAACTTAACTGAAAATAGATTAAACATTTTTAAAACTTTCATTAAATTGTTTTTAATGATAAAATGAATATATGATTTTTAAGCAATATGAACACAAGATCACAGATTATTGAATCCTAATGGTTGTAAAAAAAAAAAAATTCATACTGACTTATCAAGTTTAACTATATTTTTGGTACTGATACTAAAAATAAAATATATATTTGAGTAGGTTAACAAAGACATAATATAAAATAACTTGATAAGAAACAAAGAATAAGTTAAACTAGATGACTTTATAAAACAAACCAGTAAGAAAAAATATACAACGACATAATAAAAATAGAGCATAACTTCATTCAAACAATTATAACAATTGTATTAGAAAACTTAGTCCATCTAACAAAATTAAAGTTAAATTTTTCCACAACAAATAAATGTAACAGAAAATAATGATGAAATATTAAAAAGGTCGATCCTACTTTTATACCTATCAACTAAAAAAGGAAGAAATTCAAATCCAAAAAAATATAAACCATTAACACAGAAACCGTCAGCGCGAAAATAAAAAGATTACTTAAAGTAGGGTCAATCATAATTTAAAACACGTGCAAGTGAAGGCACATGCTTATAGGAATAATAGTCCTGTATTTTCAATTTGAGAATTAAAAATTGGAAATATGCAAGTATACTTACGAAAACCATTACAAACCAATTTTATTTCTTGACAAAATACCAAATCTCGCCCGAAGCGCGGACTTTTCCTAGTATCTCTATAATATTATTTGAGAAGTCACTTTCTTATGTGTTGCGCTCACGTTAACTTTCACGATGGTTGATTACTATGATACCCCTAATGAATTAAAAATTACATTTAAATATTATTATTTCCTTTTCAAAATTTTCCAAATAACAATATAAAATAAAAAGGAAACATTTATAAAGTTTACAAAACTATTTAAACCGAAAATATAAGTATATAGAAATATGGTTTCATAAAAAAGAAAAGTTCACAAAATAATAATATTTAATTTAAATATATTTTAAATAACATAAAATATACTTTTGAAGTAATAAAATACTTCATATCTATATCTTCTTAGATGAAAAAAAATATTTGTATATAATGTGATTCCATAAAAAAAATTCACACAACTAATCTTGATATTAGAAAAAGAAAAAAAAATTCTTTAAAAAAAATAATTTTAAACAATAATATATATATATATATATATTCAAAGTAATTATTTTTTGGTATATATCTTTCTATTTTATTAGGTGATTACATAAAATAATTAAGTAACATACACTGATATATGTTTAATTGAATTTTTTTATAATTTGTATTCTTGAAATATATATATATATATATTTTTATTTTTTAGTATATTTTTTTGACTATAATATCTCACAATACAACAAAACATATGAATTCTAATTTACTTATATAATATTATTCCTCCAGAACAATAAAAAAATTTACTGC